TATGAACGAAAAATAAATAATAATTTAGTCACTCTAGATCACATAAGTTGATTTAGGGAGTATGCCTCTCGGGCTAGAACTTCTTCCGGCTCTACCTTTCTAGAACAAACCAATAAGTAACTTCTTCTCTATCAGGTTTAGGAAATTCGTTTCACTATTTGCGTTATTAACTTACAAATCTTAAATCATATATTGTGTCTAGCCAAGTGGCTTAAGGATATTTAAATACCAAAGTTTGAAGTAACTCATATTTTTGAAGTCTACTCTCAAGAAAATCAACGAACACTGCAGGTTTTCTACTTTTTAAACTATATTTTCCCTTTTGGTGTTTTGAAATGTAGCTAATTCCGAACGCCTGTTGGTCTTCACCTCTGATGTCCTCGACAAAACTCCATCTCTAGGATCTTTTTAGCGTCGGGCCGTTGCGACGGTTTACGCTGCAACAGACAGCTGATTATCTTCCGCGCTGGCTGCCCCACCTCCCTGGGGAACTGGTAGCTTCCGATCACAACCTGTCGGTAGATAGACTGGAGTACAGACTGGCGACTGTTCTCCGCCCCCAGAGCCTCATTTGAAGCCATTCTCGTCTGGGCAGACAATGTGCACGACGTAGGCGACTCGATCGGTCTGCCTAATGTGATTGCGGCGGTAGAACTGTTGGTCGTCTTGGCAACAGGCGATGGCGCTTCAGTTGGCATGCCCTCCCGAGGACGGTCGACGGGACGGTCAGGCTGAAATGGAGGCCGTCCGACCAGCATGAAGTAGAGCGTTACTCCTGCAGCCCAGTAATCCGACGCAAATGAATGCCCATGGAGGAAGAAAATCTCTGGAGCCAAGTAGTTTGGGGTGCCGCAGATATGACTAATAGGCAAAACAAGAGACAAGAGACAAGAGACAATGTATAGACTATGTACCTTCGGCATGAGTAATTTTCGAAAGAATAAACTATTTATTCTTGAATTCGAGATTGGTTACCTTAGCCCTCTAGCTGTGGTTTACGATGGATAGTTGAGTCGGCCTCACGTCGAG